TGTTAATGGCTTGCCAGGGTCATAGAGCTAAAAGGAAGATATTAAGATTGCTGATTCAGTCCTTATCCATTAGACCAAACTGTTAGTATATAATGATATATAACAGTTGTTAACCTTTTGAAGTCTTTGGAAAACACACATGTGCGTATGAAAGGGGGCATGTTCTAAATCAATACACAGCTAAACCAAGATTTGATTAAGGAAGAGATCATTAAAAAGGAAGCATTGATAACTATAGTATTTTTCATTGAATTGTCTCAGCAAACTTACAAAGTCTTATCTGTGATAAATAAATATTAAAATTTCCTTTTCCTTATCAAAATGTGAAAATAGATTTTTTTAAAAAGAAAATAATTCAATAATCATATTACTCTGACTTAACTATTCACATGTGTATAAGACACACTGCTGTTTGTAGATTGTCTTTCAGGCTTTGTCACATCATAATTTATTTATACATAATTGTAATAATAATATTCATATAATTTTTACTACAGATTTTATAATTTTATTTTACATTGAGATTTAAGTAAATCCCCAAGGACCCATATGAGTTGAATATTCATAAGCTCACAAAGTCCAGATATTCTAATAATCTGTCACATGCTGAGGCTATTTTGCAACACAGGCTATTCTGTTAAACCTTCTTTACTTTATACTGAGAACCTGCTGGAATCATGTAATTAATTCTTTAGATATAGTTGTAAGAGGAGAACAGCAATACAGAAATTCTCAATGATGTTTTAAAATAGTCAGGTCTGAACAGCCACCTGGGGCAGAAATGACAGGGTGGGAAGGAACAAGACTGTAATTGAACAACAACAACAAAAAAGACTGTAATTGAACAGACGTTTTTGAAATGGTCATTATTGTGAGGCTCTGGCTGGGTCTAGAGAGGAAGGCTAGGCTGATGGGCATCCATGGTATATGAGGTAGAAGATGTGGCAGTGAAATTGTATGTGTCTTGAAAGTCCCACGTGGGGATAATAGCGTTCCTCAACAAGCTGCAAAGCAGAGGTATAGAGAATCCAGGAGCTTGTGGTGTCTGAAAATCCATATGATCAGGTTGGTTATTACAAAACCCTCTCCTCAGGACTTGGGGTTCTCTTCTCTGAAAGGGGCCTGACAAGAGCCTGGCCAGGTTACAACCTCTGGGGACAACTCAAATTCAGGGAATGAGACCATGAAGGATTCTCTCACCATAAATGGAGCCTGGATGGGCACCAACCTATGGAATAACAACAAAGTGCACTTGACAAAAGGGGTAGTTGGACCAGTCAGAAGGGGTAAATTGAGCTTGGTTCCATAGTATTGAGTTAAAACTTCTTAAATCGTTATTGTCTAAGGTCAGGATTGATTGTGGAGACAGGGGTCAGAGTAGGGCCTAGGGGTAAGAGAGCAGGGGAAAGGGATGAGTATGAGACTGGAATAAAGTTGACGTCAAATAGCCTGAGCTATCTGGAAGCATGAGAGAGAATGAGGAATCTGGCCAGAGTGGATTGAAAGCATGTTGCTGAAATACACATGATGCTTTTTAATACTCTTTACAACTCAAAATGGAAGGTCAGAAAATTATTTCTTAGTTTCAGGGATACTTGGGGTAAAAATTACCTGAGATTTTTCAGTAAAGATGCGCAGGGATTCGGGCAAAATAATGTAGTTGTTATATGAGCTATCTGAAAGCTTCTGTTACTACTTTTAGTGGCTTGTCTTAATTAATGTTCAAACTAGCTTATAATTTTTCCTGAAATAATCTTTCCTTTTAGATGAGTACTTGAAATCCTCTTCATTTAGTGATTATTAAAATGATAGATATGATTTGACTTTCCCCTTTTTGGCTTCTATTTTTTTTAAACTGAGATATAATTGACATAACATTACATTAGTTTCAGGTGTACCACATAACAATTTGGTATTTGTTGTGAAATGATCACTGCAGTAAGTTTAGTAACATCTATCCCACGCATAGTTACACATTTTTTTCTTGTGATGAGAACTTTTAAGATTTACTCTCTTACCAACTTTCAAATATATAATATAGTATTATTAATTATAGTTGGAATACTGTACATTATATCCCCAGTACTTGTTTTATAACTGGAAGTTTGTACCTTTTGACCATCTTTACCCATTTCTCCTACCCTAGCCCCCTACTTCCTGCCTCTGGCAACTGCCAGTCTGTTGTCTGTATTTATGAGGTTTTTGGGGGGGGGTGTTTGTTTTTGATTTTGTTTTTTAAGATGCCACATGTAAGTGAGATCATAGGGTTTTGTTTTTCTCTGCCTAACATTTTATTTAACACAATGCCTTCAATGTCTACCAATGGTGTTGCAAATAGCAAGATTTCCTTCTTTCTTATTGAATATTCCCTTGCATATATATACAGCACTATCTTTATCCATTTATCTATTGATGGACACTTAGATTGCTTCCATGCCTTGGCTATTGTAAATAATGTTGCGTTGAACATGGGGGTGCATATGTCTTCTCGAGTTAGTGTTTTTGTTTCCTTCAGATAGATACCCAGAAGTGAAATTTTTGGATCATATGGTAGTTCCAGATTTTTTTGAGGAATCTTCATACTGTTTTCTATAGTTGGTGCACCAATTTACATTCCCACCAATGGTGCACAAGTGTTTCCTTTCTCCACATCCTCACCAACACTAGTTATTTCTTGTAATTTTGATAAGAACCATTCTAACAGGTGTGAAGTGGTATCTCATTGTCCTTTTGATGTCATTTCCCTGATGAATAATGATTCCAAGCACCTTTTCATATACCTATTGGCCATCTGCATGTCTCCTTTGGAAAAATGTCTATTCAGATCTTCTGCCCATTTTTTAATCGGCTAGTATGCATTTTTGCTACTGAGTTGTATGAGTTCTTTACATATTTTGGATATTAACCCTTTATCAGATATGATTTGCAAATATTTTGTTCCATTCAGTAGGTCCATTCTTATTTTGTTGATAGTTTCCTTTGCTGTGCAGAAGCTTTTTCATTTGATGTAGTCCCACTGGTTTATTTTTGCTTTTGTTGCCTTTGATTTTAGTGTCAAATCCAAAAAAAAAAAAATCACCAAAACCAAAATCAAGGAACTTCCTGCCTATGTTTTATTCTAGGAATTTTATGATTCCAGGTCTTATGTTCAAGATTTGAGTTAATTTTTTAATATAGTGTTGGCCTCCATTCTAGTTTAGTTGACCTAAACCTTAGCTATGAGATCATCAGTGATCTGAACAGGCAGAGGAATTTCTTAAGAATTTTAAGTGTGGTGACCATATAAGTTCTTGTTTAAACTGGTCACTTGTGAGAGTGAAAGGGGGTGCTATTAATAATTAAGTTTGGACAATAGGTACTAGCTAAGGCTGTCCCAAGCAAACCAAGATATATGATCATCCTAGAGTTAACATATAATTCTCCTTGGTTCTCTAACATTTCTGTGTGTCTTGTGAGTATAGCCACTGCCAGCCTTTTGTTTAAGACAATTTTTTTCAAGAATGTTAGTATAGCAAACAGATTTGGTAGAGAGAATGTCTCTCTCTGGAGTAGAAGGAAAAGATTGGGGGTTTTTAAGCTCAAGGTTCCTCTCCTTTAACACAACCTATTTGTACAGGTGTCTCCTATCCCTTGTGTCCCCTGTGGAGAACTGGCACAAGAATATGATGCTCTGGCTCTGGCTATTCTGTGGTTAATAAACTGACTTTTGTTTCTGAGCCAAGAGTTTTGTCTTTTGCCAGCAACAATGAAACTGTGGCAGGCTGATTTGTTAGTCTGCAAATAGGGTGAACTGTCAAGCCCTTCACATTTCTTGCTACCTAGTATAATTATAAATCACATACAAATGTAAAGTTTGTACTACTACTACTATTGTTACTATTAATTCAGGTGAAATTTCATTCTTCCAATTTAAGTATTTCTCTTCAAAGAGAAAAGGTGAAAAGCAAAAGCAAAGAAAGGCATTATTGGGTTTGGCATCATTTATGCCAAGATAGACTCAATCTTACCTCAGCACTCAGATTAAATATATAACTATTATAATTAATAATTTATTAAAAATAAATAACTTTATCTTAATGCATGATTTAACTACTTAATTCTACTGTAAATTTATTTCTTAAAACTATATAGCATATTTTGATCTGAAAGTATATGTGGATAGAAATTTTTCTTCTAGAATAAAGATCTAGATTTTCAAGGAGATACAGCTTTTTTTTTGGTGTCATGATGAAGTTGGATTTATTATTATTTATATAACAGTTTCATTGAGATATCATTCACATGCCATACAATTTACCCATTTAAAATGGTTCAATGGATTTTTAGTCTAAGAAGCATGTAATCTGATGTAACAAGAAGCATGTAGTAAAACGTGCCAAATTCCAAATTTCTTTCTTCTGTTGTAGCTTAGCTCAAGTACTTATTTTTTTCTTGAACTTTCCTTCACCTTTTTAAGTATTCTAGAAGTGAGGCACTCTTACAAGTGATAGAATTTTAAGGTGGCAGACAATTGCAAAGAGATATACAATGCACATTAATGGTAACATTTAGCACTTAGACAGTGCTTTAAGAACATTAACCAATTAATTTGCACATTACCCCCTGTGAAACAGTAAGTAGCATTATCTCCACTTTCACAATGAGAAAATGTACAGACAGAAGAAGCTCATTGACTTTATTGAGATATTAAAGCTAATGAGATCTTAATACAAATTAAAACTCTCCTGTATTCAAACTTCTGAAACAGGCTCCATTTGTGATAGAAGTTTTTTTTTTTTAACTTTTTTTTATTGAGTTATAGTCATTTTACAATGTTGTGTCAAATTCCAGTGTAGAGCACAATTTTTCAGTTATACATGAACATACATATATTCATTGTCATATTTTTTTCGCTGTGAGCTACCACAAGATCTTGTATACATTTCCCTGTGCTGTACAGTATAATCCTGTTTATTCTGCATATGCCTGTCAGAATCTACAAATTTTGAAATCCCAGTCTGAAAAATATGGAACTCTTCACAAATTCGTGTGTCATCCTTGCACGGGGGCCATGCTAATCTTCTCTGTATAGTTTCAGTTTTAGTACATGTGCTCCCAAACTGAGCACTGTGATAGAAGTTTATTTACTGGCCTTGGAAAAGGTATATATCTTAGGCTATATGTCTTGCAATATGTTCATATTATGTATTTATTTTGCAAAGCATATTGTTGAAATTCCTTTATCCAAAAAGTAGAAGTCTTTTTTATTAGCCAAATGTTTTGAATTAAATGATCTCTCACAGCAATCACAAGGAGATTATTATCCTCAGAAGTGGAACTGTAACAAATGACTTCAGTTATAATAAAATGAGACAGGGATCAAATATTAATTTGTATTAGTATAAGGATCGGTAGTTAATGTTACTGTTTTAATCTTGTAACAAAGTCTCACATTCAGAAATATTGGAACTTTCCATATCAAAATGATGCACAGCCCATTTATTATCAGTTTAATTTCTAAATAAATACTTCATAAATTATCTATTTTAGATTGGTGATGAATTGTATTAAACTATTTCTCTCTCTCTCTGCTTATCTGATTCTTCTTGCATCCATGGGAGTGATGGCTTGTTGGAACAAGATATGAAATTGTGACTAGAACAAGGTCAAAAGACTTTTTTGGGAATTGAGCCCTTGACCTCAGCTCTTTACATGTATAAACCAAGCTAATTAGCCACACTGCCTATTGCAGTATGATACAACCTGGCAGTTACTCTTCAATAAATCAACTGTGTTACTGGTTTAACAAATATTTATTGGCTGCTTGCTATGTGGAACTTGCTAAACACTGGATATAAGAGGTTAAAGAGACACACTTCTTGTCCTTGAAAGAAATAGATAATCTACAGCTAGCAAGTAATTTCTAGGTCCCCTAGTTGTGAATCAAAATATACAATTTCATATATTAACCACATTTTTGTACAAAAAGGTTTCAGTGCATGTCCATAGACAAAATAGTCAAATTGTTCTCTAGGAGTGAGCTACTTTGTCAGCTTGTCGCTGTTTCTCCAATTGGTGGACTGTAACGTGTATGCCAAAGAAATGGTGCATTTTGACAGAATAGGAGCTGGTCTAGCTTCAGTGCATTTTGTTTCCTCTTAAAATAGCATCACTAGCAGCTCTTATCCTTGACCTGATTTGGGTACTTGATAAGGCATTTGGGTCAGTTAGATGTGAATGGACAAATTCAATGAAAAAGCAAGTTCATAAAATTAACTTGAGAAAGAGCAATGGCATCATCAAATAAAGCAGTTTTCTCATTCAAGTGCTCTAAAAGGAAGATTTAAGTTTGGAGTAAATTCAAAGCTTAAATTTCTTTTTTCTTTGGTAAAAACTGTTCTCTAAGTAAATTAAAGCAGTAATAGATATTACTAGAAAGAGAATGGGAATTACAACCTTCAGTAAGAGATGCTCTTTAAAAAGTACATGAAAAGTACCTGAAAATGAGGAGCCAATAGTTCGAATTTTATATTTAAGGTTACATAAAATCACTTACATTCAAAATATGACTTTATGGAATGAGATTTCTGACCATAAGAAAGTAGACACTTTCTTTTTTTTTTTTTCCTCTTCTCCTTAAGAACATATTTTGCCCAGTATGGAAACATTTAGTAGCCCGAACTGCATTTGAAAAATTTGTTAACCTTGGTATTTGATGATGACCTAGACAAGTGCTTAAACTTGCCAAACACATGAGCAAAGATGATTCTTTCAAACAAAACAACTTTATTTAAGAAGGATAAGTTTCAGAAATAAAGTAAAAGGTAGCCTTGGATTCTCTAATACTTGAAAGCTAACACTGGCATTTATGACTCCCTTTTAGAGCCAGAAGACAGGTCTTCACAGTCTGCATAACACGACATAGTTGAGTAATAAAAAGGAGAGCAGTGATCTTTTGTATTCACTGGTTCAACTTACTGAGGTTATTTTTGAGTACTGGCAGAAGAAATCTGATTAATTTTTCTCGTTGTTGTTTAAGAAGCTGCTTTAAATAACACATAGCCTAATTTAATTAGTTTGTTTTTTTAAACAGATGACCAATCCCAGAGCCTATATACAATAATGAAGTAATGTCATCTAAGGACACAGTATTAATAGCTTGCATTTATATAACGTTTTAACTACTATTCAAAGTTTCTTTTTCTTTTCAAATTAATATGTACTTATTGTACAGTATTTGGAAAATACAAAATGATATAAAGAAGGAAAAAATATTTATCATCTATCTTCTTACTTCCAAATAACCAGTATTACTATTTTGGTGTACTTCCTTCTGATCAGTTTTTTTGTGAGTAGATGTTCTTTTTTACATACTTGTCAAATTAGATGTACAATTTGGTACTCATTTTTTTACTTTTAACACTACATATTATTAATTCTACAGAGTAAATATTTCTCATGTTTGTTATTACGTCATCTTTTGAAATAATTTTTACGATTTAAAAATTGTGTATAATGTTTTATTAAGTCAAATGTAATTTACTTAGCTGTTCTCCTTTGTTGGATGTTTAAATTATTTCATATTTTTTACTATTAAAGATAATATTTGAACAATGTTTTAAAAATTATTCCATGCTTACAGTTTTTCCTTAGAGTTGATAACTAGAAGTATAATTAGTGAATAAGAAAAAGTAAAAAAAAATTAGGGCTCTTGAAAATATTGTCAAATTGCTTTCCAAAGAATGTGTAGTACTTAAAAAAAAATGCTTTCATTAGATTTATTATCTAATCTAATGGCATGGCAAACTCCAGTTAGACAGGACAGATATTGCTATGCCCATTTACTAAATGAGGAAACTGAAGTACATAAAGCATGAATGTCTTACCCCGGCTCACTCACTTGACCATTAACAGATTTGAACTAGGCACTGTGAGAAATACAAAGTGAATAAATTCAAAGTTGAGTTGAAGAGATAGCTATAGACAGTAATAACTATAAAACAAAGTGATGGGGAGAAGCTGCAGAAGAGATCAGGAGGCCCATGCCTGCATGCCCAGAGGGTGCTCAGAGTTCTTCCAGGCAGGGCCATGGGAAAACACCCTGTGGTGGGGGTTGTGGGCGCCGAGGTGGAGGCTAGGGGTGCCTGAGTGGGCTGTGCAAGGCTGGAAAGGGCTTTCAGGAGGCGTGTTGTGGAGACAGGGAGGTGGAGGGGTGAGGCAGGGTATTCCAGACAGAGCTAGCGAATGGATGTGGGGAGACTTAAGAGGTGATATTTGAAGAATAAATTTTAGCTAAGTAAAAATTATTTTTGTGTTAAAAAATGCTTATCCTCTTCTTAGGCTCTATTATTAGAAAGATTTTGCTAAAAAAATTATTTATCCTAATTTGTTGGCTTTTAGTCAAGCACAAAGCATTAGTTTGTAATCATACTTTTCTTTAAAAAGAAACATCCCAGGACTTTTTTCATGTGTATTGATTAACCCCTAAGCATGGTTCTAAAATATTGAGCTCATTTGGGGTACCGGGTGACCAAACTCACATGTTTTGAACCACTTAAAGACTTTTCTAGAGGCAACTGAAAGGCAATCACTAGTAATGTGTGTGCTCACGGCAGCTCATGGCCTAACAAGTGTTGTCAGTCAGCAGTGCACTTCAACTGTTCATTTTGCTGAAGGCAGATAAGTTATGCTACATCCCACGGCACAGATCAAATACATAAAACTAGAGAGGAATGTTAATGGAGAATGTTGCAAATTCTTAAAGTGACAGAGTTTTTAATATTGAATTGATTTAATCAGGTTGCAGTATTATCAGATTATGAGAAAATCTGAGTGAAATGTAGATAACGATAAATGAAAGAATTTTGTAAAAGTAAATAAATACCACACGTGATTTAAAACAGGGCAGCATCTGGCACATTGTAGGTATTCAGAAATGTTTAGTGACTGAATAAGTGAACGGGCGTATTTCTATTTTCTGATGTGCTTAATATACATTTAAAAATTTTGCTGCTACTGAATTTTACTGAACTGGCAAACTTTTAAAATATGTAGAATGAATTATTGTAAGGCTGATAAACCTTTAATCAAATGTGTTTTGTCTCATTTTTGGTAGAAATTTTGAGACACTTGCCTTAATTGCCTTTTTGACTATAACTTAATTATAAAATAATAATACATAACTACAAGCAGAATATTAATCATAGCTCTCAGAGAAAATTCAAACTTTTCAATTACTCAGATAAATTTTCTGCCTAGTTTAGTTAGAGCCAGATCATACGGTGGACCAATCTAAAAGTATTCTGATACCCTGGGTAAATTACTTCCTCCTGGGAAAAGATGCTAGATAAATTGTCTTAAAAGAGAAAATTCGTTCTGATTAGAGTAAGAAATGATTCCCAATAGACAATACATTTTGCTTTCTCTACACAGAGAGGTGGTCTTTAACTTTAATAAACGGCCCTCGATTCTCCTTTTACAGTGAAGGAAACAATAATACCTGTCAGTTAGTAAGCCCTTTTCATGTGTCAGGGACTGTACTGAGAACCGTATATGGACATGCTCTGTCCGTTTTATCCCCACTCCAACATGATGAGGTAGATATGATTACCATCCTCATTTTATTTACTATCATCCACAAATGTGGAACAGAGCATAAAGCTTATGTGGCTTGTCCAGGGTCCCAGAGCTGGTGAGAGGGAGCTGTAACCCCTACTCAGCTCGGATACTAGGTATTTAGTCACTGGGATTTGCTACCTTTCTATACAGATGTTCAACTTGTTATCTTAAGTAGCTCATAAAACAGAAACATTTGAAACTTTTCTACATTACCAGTGAGTATGCAAAGTCTGTTCTTACGTTTGATGCTACAGGAAAATTTTCACTTTATCTTTCACTCTAACTTCCTATTCTCTTAGCCTTAGGAACCAAGGTTAGCTAGTAAACTTGCCTTTTGAAACAATACTGTATTAGCCAGTATTTACTGGCTGCTTATGATGTGCCAGGTACTTTCTTATTGCTTTATAAGCGTTATCTTGTTTAATCATTGCAGCATCCTGAGGAAGGTACCATTATTAGCTCCCATTTTATAGATCAGAAAACTGAAGCTTAGCAAAATTAAGCAACCTT